TGGACGAGGCCGTCTCGTCCGGGCTGGTGGGCAGCGAGCTGCACGAGAAGCTCCTGTCGGCCGAGAGGGCCGTGACCGGCTACACCGACCCCTACACCGGCGACCAGATCTCCCTCTTCCAGGCCATGAAGAAGGAGCTCATTGTCAAGGAGCACGGCATCCGCCTGCTCGAGGCCCAGATCGCCACCGGCGGCATCATCGACCCCGTGCACAGCCACCGCCTCCCCGTGGAGGTGGCCTACCGGCGCGGCTACTTTGACCAGGAGATGAGCCAGATCCTCTCCGACCCCACCGACGACACCAAGGGCTTCTTCGACCCCAACACCCACGAGAACCTCACCTACATGCAGCTCCTCCGCCGCTGCGTGCCCGACCCGGACACTGGTCTTTATTTCCTTAAGGTTTTTTTAAAATAATTGTAAATCCTTTTGCATTTTTTTTCTTTGTATTGCATTGTGAAGAATTTAGCTGTTGTGAATCTGTCTTTTACTGCTTGTACTTTTCTTTTTCTATTTAAATCCTATTTTTAAAATTTCTAATTCTATTCAGAGTATTTCCCTATTGTTCCCTTTCATTTTCAATAACCTGCTCACATCAGATACATCTTTTAAGTGACTACATCAAGTATTGTGGTATAGCATATTAAGCCTTTGTCTTCCGTAGTCTTTCAGGAACACAAGAATTCACCTGGGTTATCTCAGGTCATTTTGGTGAAATATGTTGTCCTCATTTTCCTCATCCTGGTTTAAATTGAAGTATGTCTTTTGTTTTGTATGAGGTGCAGTGAGAATGGTATTTTTATTCTCCTTCTAGTCTGTTTTCTTATACATTAAGAACTTTTTTTTCTTAGCAGATTTGCAGGGAATTATTAGAGTTTCAGGTTTTCAAATCTGAATTTTGAATGGAGAGCATATTTCTATGTAGGCACTATGTCAGGGTAGTGTTAGGTGTTACTGGAGTGGAGTACATTATCTGTGTTTGCTTTTAATGCCTCAGCCTGTCTAGTTTTTCTGGGGGTGTTTGGACTTCATACACCCTCAGCTTAGAGTGGTTTGGTCTCTCACTGATATGTACACTCAATTCACTCACCTGCTGTGCTTTCTCTCCCTCCAGTTCTCCAGCTCTCCATGGAGCCTGTATAGAGAGCTGTGCTGTGGGATCCACACGAGAGCTGAGAGCCCGCAGTGCACATTGTCGTGCCCTATCTCTAGTCTATCCATCCACGGTCAGGGGAGCCTGCAGCAGAACATCCGTTCCCTCTAGCTGGGGCCTCTGCGCATTTCTCAGCTCCTTTTACTGTCCTGTGTCCTGAGCTGGCTCAGCCCACATACCACACTCCTGGAGCGGAGGCAGCCCCAGAACCACTCTGCCGTAGAGTTCAGGGCTGAATAATTCTACTGCTGTTCAATAGAAGGATACTTACTCCCCCTAAATGCCTTACCTTAAGCTATTTGCCTTAATTAACTCAGTAATGTCTTGAAAAATTGAAGTTTTGCCACAGCTTGTATAGCTGATAGCTGGAAACAAGTGTAGATTAGCTGTGGAACTCCTTACCATAACCTGCTGTGTAGCCCAGAGATTTGCATGGGCTCAAAAAGTGATGGGACAAGTTAATGGGAGAGAAGTCCGCTGAGGGTTGCTAAATGCAAAGACACACCTCTGCCTCAGCAGGTCCCTCAGCCGCAGCTTACTAGAAGATGGAAGACAGGATCAGGGAGGTGTCGGTACGGGCTTACACTGTTATTACATCCTTAGTGTAGACTCTGAGACTGGACAGAGCTGGCTGGAGCATAGTGGAGACATGGACCTTTGCTCTGGGCTGGTATAACTGTGACTGTCCTACCACCATCTGCATTACGAACACAGAGAAGCTCCAGAAATGCCACAATTTACCCAGAGTGTAACGGGGAAGTATTACAACTCTCAGGCCTCACCACACTGTACTGGGGTTAGTTCAGCTTCTTCCCACACCAACCTGCAGATGCTGTAATGCTGTCTCCAGAGGGTCTCGACGATTCGTGCTCCCATGTCAACGAAGAGGCTTCATATTCATCTTCTAGACTTCTGCTCTTTCCTAGAAATGGATTAGAAAATGCTTTAGCTAAATCGAGGGCGAATGGCCAAGCTGTGTCTTTCACACACTCTAGCCTTGTGCCATCTCCGGATCTCAGAGCCCTGCATGATACTACAGTGTCAGAGGGCTCGCTACCGGCTGCTGCACGAGACGAAGCACCTGGCTGGACGGGCTCTTGTCCTGCTTCATCTCAGCCATTCCTATATTCCTGCCCACACCCCTTGCCCTTGGACTGTCTCCTCTTAGTCTCTACTTCCATATCTTTCAACCTCCGCCACGCTTTTCACCTGATCTCCAGGTGTCCCATTTCCCAGCCTTCTTGTTCATTAGGTCGTGCCTTGCTAGCAAAGCCATAGAGACCCAGCAATCCCTGTGGAGCAGGATGGATGCTTGCAACCCTCCAGCTGTGGTTTAGCCCTTCCTTCCCCTTTCCAGGGCCTCTTTTCTGGTGATAAGCTCTTCCCGTTAGGTGTCCCATGTTTGTACTAAACCTAACCACTGTAAGGCCATTTCTTGATAGGATCTTCTGTCTTATACACCTAGCCAAAAGCCATTTAACTAAGCCTAACCAAAAGCTAGTGCCTTATTTTTTACGTATCCGCTAGGATATACAAGAGAAAAGGAACCGAGAGGAAACCTCGTAGTATTCTGAAATTATCAGTCTCCTAGCCCTGGGCCAGAGCATCATCTGCCAACGGTCGGCTCCTCAAAGCTTGGCTGTTATCACCTTGTGGGACTGGGGACATAGAAAAAGCCACTCTCACATTTAGATCAGGAATGGGAGGAGGACTGCACAGGATGAAAAGCATGCATTAAGGAAAGGAAGACAGGGTAGGGTCTTGCAGCATGGGCCCAGCACCAAAGCTTGGCTCCCTTCCCCACTGTGCTGCTCCGGACCTCCCAGCGCTATGCGGGGAGCAGCTCATGGCTCTCCTCGGCAGGTTACTGGCAGGCAGCACTGAAGAGTCACCCTGTGGCTGGAGCAGCCTTCCCGGGCGGCATGTTAGCCTGGGCCTGGCGTGAAGGCTACAGGGAAGGTGCAGAAGCAGCCTGGTTAAAGACAGTCAGCTTTTCCTTGGGCAGGGGAACAGGGGCCTCCATGGCCATATGGACCATCATGGCTCACTTCAGGAGCCGTGTTGGACAGCCACACACTTGAACAGCCAGGAGGCAGCAGTATCTCTGTAAGAAACTCCTGTCCCAGATCAGGCAGTGAAGCCTAACAGGAATGTCATGGTGGTGACGGTCCTCCCTGATGGGGGACCCAGAGAGCGAGCTGAAGCAAAACAAACTTTCGGGCTTGTGACCCGGCATCACATCGTGACTCGCTTGCAGGGGGTGTGGTGGCCAGACCTCAGGAGGTTTCTGGAAAGGCTTGTAGTAAGTGCTGGGGAGGAGACAGCGACGGTGGGCCCCACACAGAGGAAGATGGAGGAAAGAGGTTCTGGCATTAAAATGTAGGCTTCAGGCAGGAAGATGAAAGCCAAGCCCTTCATGACAGCGTTCCCTGAAACAGTCCGGGTACCACATGGAGGTCAGATAGTAAAGCAGAGACATGAATTCATAAAACAGGTCTGGGAAGCTGAAAAGATTTTGTCATAAAAGTTTTGCATCTCCAAGCAAGGAAGAGGCCAAACTTGCACCATTCAAATATGGTGGAAACCAGCATGGAGAAAAGGAAAAGGGAAGAACAATTTAAAGAAGCAGAATCCTGTTTAAAAACAATACAGAAAAAAGTAGAGAACCAAGATAAATATAATATATAGTGCTGAGGAACTGGAATGCCTCATCTTCAAGAAAACACTGGCATGGCATGGGCTTCTTGGGAGGAGGCTCACCAGGAAGACACCATGACACCAAAGTATAAAATGCACGGATGTGGTAAAGGAGGGTGTGCTGGTGGCAGCGTGGGGCTGTTAGAGAGCTTAGAGTCGGGTCAATGTCACAAATACACCAACAGAGAACCTTGGACCGAAATTGCAGCTCCAGGGAGCAGGGCAGGGGCAAGGCGAGCAGACAGACATAAGGGGCAGGGGCTGGCTGTGCAGAGGCTGAGCTAGGCAGATAGTGTCCCCTGCAATCAGGAGGAAGGGCAGATCCTGAGTGGGGACGTAGAAGGGGCATAAAACCATAAATGACATGGAGAAGGCAAGTGGGGAACGAGGTTGTGGGGAAACAGCAGGAAAGATTTCTGTACACAGTTAAACTGTGGCATCTTGCTGCTGGGACGTCATGGAGGCAAAAGCTGTGAATGCTCAAAGGAAATAAAAGACAAGAAAAAGTGAGCCCTCTTCTCAGCGAGGGAGTCACCAGAGGGGCCCAGAGGGACCCATGCTGAGAGCTGGGCCATTTAACATGTGCGGACATGGTCTGGGAAATGCTGTGAACAGTGAAGGAGCAGATGGTATTAAATTATTCAGCTTTGCAAAGAAAAGTGCCAGCTGCAAAAACTGCAGGAAGACCAAGCCACATACAGTGACTGGAATAAAAATGGCAGATTATGTTCAAGGTAGGTAAAAAGGCACACACAGTGAGAAGCAGTCCTAGTGTCCACGTACTCAGCTCTGAGCTGCTACTGTTCAGCAGCAAGAATTGTAACAGATTATTTGATGCGTGCTCAGCAGCAGTCAGTAAATCAAACGTTACGATTAGGGAGGGAACTTATCCATGCCAGGATAACACACACAAGCTGTGTCCATCCAAAGGCACCATATAATATCCCAAGAGGACACCAGGCTCCTTGGTGGGGCTGCAACCAGGATCTCAGCAGTGGCCCAGCCTTGGTGGCCAGTGGGGCTTCGCTGGTGTAAGGCAATATGGACGGAGGGCATCTGCTCCTTTGTATCTGGTCCAAGGAACCATCAACAAGAACATACAGGGACAAACCTGAGCAACAAATGATACAGGAGGCGGTGATGGGAACAAACCTGGCCAGTCGCACCAGTCAGTCAGGATGTATGGAGTGAGACAATAGGGGTTTTTTTCTGTTGAGAAGATAAGGAAACGAGGCAAACACAGAGACATAAAACCTGACCAATTAGTGTTAACAAGACAATAACCAGAAACAAACCTGGTCAGTGGCACTAATTGATGGGCTATCAAGAAACTGCAGGCACACCAGGACTTCACAGCTGACATGGATGTAGCCCTGAGAGTCTCAGCATCAGCAGCTGGAGGGGCCTCAGCTCCCTGAACCTGGGGAGGGTCCCACAGACTGTGTCCTGAAAACCAGCTATTGAGGGGAACCGGTGTGAGTGAGGGGCTCTGTGCCGGTGGCTGGAGCGGGACTGTGGGTCACAGCCCGCGTGGCCGGTGTTGGCTGGCGGGGGGATGATGAGTGTC